ATATATATATATATATTTCAGTTGTGTGAGGGTGGTGGTGGGGGAGGAAATCAGTGGACCAAATACAGGTACTTGTCAGTAAGACTACAGCCTTTTCTTAAATAGGAGTATTTGTTTCTCAGAAACTTCCTCTTGACCTTCAGTGTGAATTACAAGAAGATATTTGAATATTTTTGCTAAACTCAGACCCGCAGTACATTTGCACTTTAGCCGGTAAAATAGAATTGAGGTGCCATTGTATTCTATTACTGGTGAATGGAATAGAAATAGCAATGGAAGTAATTCTGGGCATTTTACATCAAGTCATTTCTAGCCATCAGTGGGTAGAAATGGCACAGGCTTTTCAAAACACGTAGCCCTGAAATGGAAAGGTCTAAATCCTGATGGCAAAATGCTGTAGAAGATAAATATTAGAATCAAGGGTATGCTTTGGTTTTTTGCTGGATACTGTTCATTGCTGGATTTTGTTTGTCCAGAAGGGCATAGGGGTACAGTTTAGTACTTTGCTTGGAACGTGCCTTACCAGCAGAATTGCTCATGCCTGCGCAGTAACAACTGGTGTGTCTAATAGCTTATTTATGTATTATTCTCCTGTCCGTTCTATTACAGAAGCTCTTTCGTGCAGATAGGCTTTTCACTAGCTGTGCTGATCCTTCTTTCAGGCACAGACTTATCAAGCACGCATAAAATGTTCTGAGGTGGAGAATTTTCTCTCTTGACCTTCTTTGACTTAACTTCCCTGAAACTGAGATGTGTGATTTCTTTACAGAATTTTCTCCTACCTTTGCATGGTCTAGCAGACAGAATCACCTTGTCTCATGTAAATGAGACTAACCAGATTAATTTCAGATCAGGTAAAGAATTCCTGTTGAGAGTGATTTGCAGAATACCTTTGTTATTTGAAGGAGTCTTCAACTAGCAGTGAAGTAATAGTTTGTAGGGTTAGATCTAGAAATTGGTGATTATGAATAGAAGTTTTTTAAGAATTATAGTGGTGTTATATACTCTGTAACATGTCAATAGAATGTACTGGGTGTTTAATTCTTTTCCCCCTCTTCCCACACAGAGTGTGTAGTGGCGTGTCACAAGTTTGTTGAAGTCAATGCCCTGGGTCTAACAGTAGCTGCCCTTAGCAGCTATGATTCCAACATGAGAGCAGCTGCATATTTTGTCCTGGCTTCCTTTCGTTCTCATCTGGAAGGAGCTCGCTTTCGAGAGCAGAGTCAGGTAAGACTGAGCTCAGTTGATAGTTTGCCAGGTTAGACATTTTAGGTCATGGACATTTATGGGAGAGTTGCTGCTTTACTCATCCGCCTACACGCACGTGGTGAGAGAGCTAAAAGAAGCTTTTTATCCTCTATTCCATTGTTTCTCACCTATTGCTTTGTGTTTCTTCCTTTACACTCAGTTGGCGGAAAAAGGGGGAAAAATGTGATCTAGAAATACACTGGAATTTTATGTATAGGAATGGAAATCCTGATGGGATTGATATTTGGTTTATGGCCTATGAAATATCCTAAAAGCTTATTTATGTATTCACACTATCCCATTGTTGGGTTATGGTTCATACTTTTCTCCCCTGGGCTCTTGTGCTGCAGTTGCTGTATCTCTTGGATGCTGTGCAAAATGGAATCAGGCAGCCAAACCTCAGGTTTACCTTCTCTTTGACCCTCTACATTGCTCGTGTGGCACAGCAGATTCTAAAGCCAGGTATGGTAACCTACTGTGTGTGTTGAACTCCTGGGGTGAGTCACTGGAATGATGTCCTTAATCAATACTGGAAGATGAGATAGTGTGATGCTGGTAGATTTCTGTATTCCAAAGAAAAGCTTTCAATGCTTGTGTAGTCTGCCTTACTGGAGAAGTGGGAAGTGCCATTTCGATTTGTGTACAAAACCAGTCTGATCCATCAGGGATGGTGCCACTACCTCCTCATCATTTTGGGGTTGAGGTTGGCAGAGGATGAGATGGGTGCGAGTCCTGTTCAGCAGATTGGCCCAAGTTCAGTAGGTTGTCCTTTTGTCCTTAGACACTGAATCAATATAAGTCGTTGTAAAGGAGAACCATGGTGCTGGGGAGTAGTTCAGTTTGGAGGGGACTTTGTGAGGTCTCTAGCTAAGCCCTCTACCCAAGGCAGGGCCAGCTATGAGGGCAGACCACTTTGCACAGGGCTTTATCCTAGAAAAACTTCAGACCTCTACACTGATCATAGAAAGTGTAGAGGTCTCCAAGGAAGGAGACTGTATAGTCGCTCTGGGCAATTTGTTCCACTGCTCATGGGGGCATACCTGGTCTGTGGATTAAAAATTATGAACTGTTAGGCTTGAAATGTGGAGAGATTTGTCTCTTACTTTGCTGCAGATTTCTGTTTTGTCAATGAAGTAACATTGTGTTTGCTGAAATCAGAGCCATGTTGAACATTTATCTTCTTACCTGCTTTGTGCACACTCTGAATGAGCTTTTCATTTTGGGGAAGAGAAGAGGAGGGATGGCTCACAGTACAATCAGCCTTAGAATGGAAGCCTCCTCACTGTAATTAACATACACTTCTGACAACTATCTGAAACACTGAAAACATGTGTTCCATTTATACTGCGTGGTTGTATTTTGTGAACGTTGTCCTCCTCCACAATAATCATTGTTTCTCTTCACAGAGGAGCACATGTATATAAAGATAAACAGATTCCTTCTGTCACACCAGTATTTGGACCTGAGGAAAGTTCCAGGATTTTTCCAGCTTTTCTACAGTTTTGATTTCGAGGTAATGTAAGAATCCCATCTTGGGTATCACTCATTCTTCAGAAAATAATAGAAAAAGCCATAAAAATTCAATGAAATCTTATTCTTCCATAGGTAATTAACTAGAGGCATCTTTGTTTTGTTTTATATTGGAATGAGAAGTATTATTTCTGGGTTTCTTTGTTGTTTTCTTAATAGTAACACATAATGAACTCATGAGTTGTGCTGCATGTGCTCTGTAAACCCAACAAACAGAATGTTCTGCCCTAGCTAGCTTACTTTCGTATTTGAGTTTAGAATATTGATGTGGAGTTCAACTGAGGTGTTCTAGAAACAGCAACTTTTAAGTTGTGTTATCAGTGCATATTTGGGCTGCAAGAGTAACTGTTCCGATGGATATTATTGATTAAATTTGATAGAGATGAAAATTGAGAAGTCTAGAAGTAGCTGTTACGCGCTGTGCTGGCACTCCTAGGGAACCAGGGGGTTTGTGCTTTTATGGGCAGGCATTATTTTGAAATGTCTGATGGTGTTTTTCTTATGGCTTCAAGTACAAAACAGAACGTGAGTGGATTCTCAGATTTCTTGGAGAAGGGCTGCGTGATAAACATTGCTATGAGCTTTATGACTACCAGAGGATTTTCCAGGTCATTCTTTCCTTTTTCAACAGTCCTTTGTGTGATGAGGGCTCCCAGGTAAGAATTAAAATACCAAACCAACAAAACACAAACAAACAAACAAAAGCCAGAAGCAAGCCACAAAAACCCACAAACATTTGCATGGTTTGGAGATCTTAAACAAATACAAAGCCGAAGGGAGTAGTTGACTCAGCACTTGCTCTCTTGAAAATATTTTTTCTTGTTGATTTTGTGTATGTGTGAAGAGGGAACTAACTGCTTATTTTTAAACCAGAGTCACATCCTTGTCCCCTGAAATTGGATCATGTCCCTGCTGTTGTGGAACCTCACTCAGTTTCCTCAACTGGCTGTAGCTGCATTTCTACTGCTTCCTGGAAAACATTGCAGATACTTTGGTTTTGCTCATATGGTCAGGGCCTTTGCTTTTTTAGGTGATCTCATTGCCTGACCAGCATGTTACCTGCACAGTGCTTTAGCATATGAGAAAACTCACATATCAGAAGCTCTCATGTTCATAAGCATCCACCCCAAGAAATCCAGTCTGTTAACATCATCTCAGTTAGGTATCAAAATCTTGGACAAAAGAAAAGAAAATTGTCTTGCTTCCTTAAGACCCCTTTTTTGAGAGTAGCATCTGCGCGTATGCAGCATTGAAAAGAGAGTGTTTTTTCTTCCATGGGGCTGCTAAGAACATGTGATGTTTGGTAACACATTTTAAGTTGATGGGATACCAAAGATTGCTAATTATACCCTTCTGAAAGATTGGTATAGTTAGATCTTGACTGTATTCTAATTCTGTAAAAGAACAAATCATGTTTTCTGTTTCAGAGTCGTATTCTGGACATACTACAAAATGCTGCCCATGTCACAAGAGCTGCCTATGAACTCATACAAGATCACAGCCTCCTAACCTGGATAGTGCACATCTTAGAGAAAAGGTAAGTAGGGAAATACTAGTGAAACGGGCATAATTTTACTGTCCAGGAAGAATAATTATTCAGCTGAGTATGAAAACAAGGGTGACAGATACAGACATGGCCTGTCTGTCAGTGGTTGTGACATTTGGCACCTAACGCCATACTGGCAGAACTTGTTGAACTCTAATGTGTTTCCTTGTATTTCTAAAAACAAAATCAAGATGGTTTCACATTGTAGCAGGACGACTTCATGTTTTTGGTAGTGCTTTCTTGAAAAACCTAGAAAACAAAATGGCACCTTGTTTTAGCGTATGTGACTTTCATTTCAGATACCCACAATTCACATCCTTTCATAGGACCTCCTACACAATAACTGGCACAGTAATGAATTAGAGCTGTCTCTAACATTCTCCTCCCACCCCTTTCTCTTCCCCTTGCCTCTCCCTCACATACGTGCACACACGTGTGTGTGCACACACACAAAATCTCTCTCACGTGCATTGAACCCTGGCAGGTTCAAGCAAGGTTTCACGGTTGTCTGCAGTGTGATTTGCCTGGACAGGTTCCCAGTGCTTCTCCCCTGTTGTTCACCTCTCTTTGGTACAATTTGGTACATTTGGAAGAGAAAAAGCCTGGATTTGGCTTGTGGCACCCAATACTTACTTTGTGATTGTACTTTTGAGACGTGGTATTCTTGCATCTTCCATACGAAATGAGATTTCTCCCTCCCCCCATAGAAGCCATATTTACTTTGTTATTCTGATACTGTGCTGTAAGCATTACTGTTGTTACTTAAAGTCTTAGGAACATAAGGAACCATGCTGTCTTAAACAGTAACTGCTCTAGAGAAATGGTGGCAATGGTTGCAATGTAATGGAATACTTGGCAGAGCTGTGTGGTGAAAGATGCACGTCAGAAATCACCATTCTCATGCCAGGGCCGTGATACTGCTGTGTTTCCCCAGCTGCAGCACAGCAAGATAAGGACAGTAACCAGGGCCTCCATGTGGCTGGGGCTTCAAAGGGGTGTCATGTTCTCATGCCCTGATGGGGTCCTAGCTGAGAGGCACCTATTGCCATTCATGGCTCCAAAAGTGCGCTGGAATATGGCCCCTCTAGGTCATGGACTGGTTCCTGGTTAGAATCAGCCTTGCAAATGGATGATTGCTTCTTTTTTTTTGTTGTTCTTCAGGTTTCTGGAAAACAAGATGTTAAATAAAATTATTTCCTTACTCCACACTCTATGGCTAACAAATTCAGGAGGCAAGAGAGCAAGCAGGAATCAATCCCAGGAGAACAGGAAATTTCTTCCTATTCAGCTTGTAAATGAATTTCTGTATGTTTTGATCACATTAATCAAACACATTCGGTAAGTTCTCTTGGGTTTGAGGGGGCTTGGGGGGTTTTGTTTTCTTGGTGTTTTTTTATTATTAATCAGTTTGCATCTCATCCTCTATCCAGTGTGAAATTTATTAAGGCCAGAAGAATTTCTTAGTCACTGGTAGCGTAATGTTTTTTTATTCCCCTTCAATGTGGATTTTGATGAGATGTCTCTGACAGGAAGGTTTAGCTGTTTAAATGCATGGGGAATAAGATAACAGGTGATGCAGTTACTGTCAAGTTTTACATCCTTAGTTACTGGCCATTTTTTAAGCTGCTGTGTGTCACGTTTTTCCTGCTGGATTAGAGCCTGCAGTTAGCAATGCTGGTTGCTACAAGGATCTTTCATACTCTGTCTGTACTACACATGTAAACTGTGGAAGGAGAACCTGTGCGAAGTTCTAGACCAAAGTGTTGAGAATGGGTCAGTCTCCAGATCTAGAGCATGTAACCTGTCTAAGCACAGCAGCTGCAGCAGGAACAGTAGAAAACAGATGGGTAACCAGTTGTATTTGGGTTCATAATAGCACCTGCAGCTCTTCATGCAAAGCACTGTCACAGCCTGGAGAAACTATGTTTATTTTTATTTCTCCAAATTTTTAAAAATTCATGCAAAATAAAGAAGCATAGGTAAAGCTCCAGACCTCTGCCTTTTTCTTGTGTGCCATCTGCCTTTGCTGTTTACAGGCAGGAGGGCAAAGACTCTGTTTCATGGTCTGTTCTGCCAAACGCTAATGAAGCAAAGCACTAGGGATTCAATGGGAATGAAACTAATTACTACTGGCATCCTGAGAAACACAAGTATATGTGCAGGAGAAGACTAGGGAGAAACTGTAAGAAGACAAAACCTGAATTTTGTTTTGAGTATTTTGTGTACATTGTGTTTTGTTTCCTTTTATGAACTAGCATGCAGAAAAATACATGGCACTTTTGTTTTCTTTCCATAGGACTAATTTAGATCTATCCAAACTGACTCAGTTTTTCAGTACACTCAATTCTGTGCTGGAATATCGTGCTGTAGTTGTTGAGGCTTTCAAAGAAATGAGCCGGTTCACTGTGAATGACAGCGTTCTCTCAAACAAAGACATCCTGCTGCTGCTGCATAAGTGGAGTGTCATCAAAAAAGACCTGCAACTGCAAGAGGATGTGCAGACTCTTGCTCAGAAATACCAAATCAAAGAGCTGCTTAGTAAGTACTAAAATATTTCAGAAAATTAAGATGGTTGAGGCTGTTACAAGTGAACCAGACAAGTGAGAGAAGCTTCTTAGGAAGTAGTGTTAATAGCTTTTGTTGGATAGTCTGATATAGGTTGGGGGAGGAGGAATAGAAACAGAAAGTCTTTTTTTCAGGTCTTTGTTGTAGTGATTTCTAACTTTAACACAATTCTGGAAACTTTGCAGAAATGCAGTTTCAAAAAAGGAAGGAGTTTTAAAACGAAGCTTAGTTTCAAATCTAGTGTCAGGCTTTGAAAAATTGTATTCTTAAATGACATCTTAAAAACCCTCCAGTGCCTGGAGGCTTTGTGCTCAAAGATTTGAATCATTCTCAATGTGAGTGAGGGACCCAAAAGTGAAGTGTGGGTAAAAAACGTCAGTAAAGCAAGCAAAAATGAAATAGTTAAATTTTCTTACTGTCATCAGAGTTGGAAGAAAGCAAAAATACATTTGGACTTGTCTGACTTCTCTTGTTATCTCTGTGAATAAAATGTACAAGGAACTTTGTAGTGGGAGGTGTTAAACAACGCTGGTTTCCTGCGAATACAGTTACTGCTCTTGATTCACATTAAAACTTCTGCATCTGTTTTTTTAATGTTCTGTATCACTTGAACTAATTATTAAGGTATTTAAGGGATACTACAAAAGCTTTGGTTTTTCTGATGTTTTTTCACACCTTTTTGGTGTCTTTCTGAGGATTTTTTTAGAGAGTTATCACAGTGACAGCTGTAACTTACTGATCTTTTTTTTTTTTTTTTTTTAATCTGTTGCTCCAAGCCTCAGGAGCTTTTAAAGCAGTTACAAAAGATGGATCCTTATCTGAAATGTTGTTTCTGAGGTAACATTTTAGGAGTTGTCCCCGGCCCCCACAGCCCCCAGGAAGAATGCTGAAATGCGTGTAGTTGACATTCTGATGATTTTCTCACTGACTCTAGAGAGCAGATAGCCATAAAACACTCTTGTGGTATGGTGGTGGCAAAGGGCTGTTGCTGTTTGGGAGCTTTGCTGCTCCCCGTGGCACAGGCAGCATCTAACAGAGAGCAAGCCCTCATCACAAACTTCAGCTGCCTGTCTCTTCCCTTAGAGTGAAAAATTCACCTGCCCTTGGCTGGCAGCACCTCTCCAGACAGACGCTCATCCAGGACACGGCTGTGCTGGAGGAAGGCAGGCTTCACCACCTTACTCTGTGCCACTCCAGCAGCAGCATGGCTGTGTTGATACCTTCCACAGGCAGGTGCCTGCTATGCCTTCGGTAGCCCACAGGATAGCAGCTTGAGCATTTCTCATGAGGTGGTGTGAATCACAGAATGAACTAGGTTGGAAAAGACCTTAAAGATCATGTGTCCTTTCTGGCAAAACTGTGTCTTGTGGACCTCTGAAATACTGCCTTGGTTTTGCTGGGCTGTGGGCCAGGGCCTGGGTGGCATTATTGCTCACCTCAAAGTTAGGCAGTCCGGTTCAGACAACTGTTTCAGCCTGTGAGTCACTGAGAGCTGCCTGTAGCCCATTTGCTCTGAATTGCACAGGCTCAATCAGGCTGCTAAATGAGGCTAGTGCTTATCCTTTTAGCAACTGAATCAACAGATGATACTGTCTTTCTTGCATAGTTCTGTACCAAGAAAATCCTTTAGAGTATCTGATGTTTGTTTTGGTGGTGGTTTTCTTCTTACAGAAAATATTAGAGAAAAGAACAAATCTCAAGCCTCATCTCGTGCATATCATCACATTCGGAAAAAGAATGAGATAGAAAGAGAAGATGACACTGCTGCAGACTTGAAAGCTTCTGAGCTGGAGAAATGCAGAGATCATCTGAATTCCATACTTGCCCACTGGAAGCCTGTTTTCCCACCGCCACCTATCAAACATCAAGGGGAGCCCCTCAAATCTGCCGAGCTTGCAGATGAAGCAGGCAGTCTTACCTGTGCATCCACTTATGTAGTAACTAAATGGCTGGTGAAGTCCATGGTTGAGCACAGCCTCAATATGCAAAAGGTGTTGTTAATTCTGCGGTGGCTGCAGAATTGCATCTTGCCGCATCCAGTGGCAGTGCAGGGGATGCTCAGGGATGAGATGCTGAGAAACAACATCTTCAAGTTTTACACCCAGGTCTGTGAGGCCAGCAGTGGGACAGCTGGACTCGATAAAGAGCTCTGTTTGTTCAGTTCAATCATGCTTCACCTAATGGATGCCCAGGGCCTGACCAACAACAGCTGTCATGAACTTGTGAAAATGTTGTGCTTGTCAGCAGAGACAGAAGAGGACGTGAACAAGAAAGGTAACTCGTCTTTTCCTTTTCACTCATGTAACAAGGCAGTAATCATAGAATCATAGAAATGGTTGGGTTGGAAGGGACCTTAAAGCTCATCTAGTTCCAACCCCCTGCCATGGGCAGGGACACCTTCCACTAGACCAGGTTGCTCAATCCCCGTCCAACCTGGCCTTGAACACTGCCAGGGATGGGGCAGCCACAAGTAAGTAGTTCCATGTCTTTTTTTTAATTCATCAGAACAGTTTGAAGTTTGCTCATGTCCATTGGTGCTCGTAGCTCCACAAAGTAAAAGCTATGTCTTTGATGGGATGGATCACAGGGGTTGATAGCACAGAATAGGCTCACGCAGTAGGGGCTTCTGATAGTACAACAGTCGTACTCCTTCAAAGAAACTTTCCTTTCTGGGACTAAAATGGAATTCAGTGAGGTATAAAAATGTAATTCCAAGGGGAAAAAGCATGCAGAAATGAGTCTATGTGGGCATGGGCTCTAATCTGTATGCTGTTCAATATTATCGTTTGACAGCAAAAGCCACGGGTCAGTATTCAAACTTTTATATTTAAAGAGATCAGAAGGTTGTGCAAAAAAAAAAAATCTGTTTTCTTCCCTTGGTGTGAGGAGGATCATTGGCTTTGCATGGCCAAACACCCCACGAATTTTACATCTAGGAAAAGAGTTAGGAAACTATTTGAAAACTTAGGTCTGGAGGTAAAATGGTTTGGGTTTGTATTACAATTGGAAATAGAAGAATATCTGTGCTGATTTTTTCTCATTTTTCTTCCACAGCTGTTTGTGTGTTCGTGACTTCTCTGTACATTGGGGACATGTGGCTTGGAGCACAGGAGCCAGATATGTTAATAACTCATGTCAAATTGATCTGCAGTAGTACAGATGATAAAGTAAATGATGATGACTTGGAAACTCATAAACAAGGAGAAGAAACTATTACGGCTCTTTGCAAAACCCTTTACTTGGCTACATTGGGGCATTAATTCAGTGAACTGACACTTAATTTTGAATGTTATATGCTCTGCCATCGTTGCTGTGAGGCAGAAAACCCTCCTGAACTGTTCTCCATACAAATCTAACTTGTCATAAAGATCAATATTTTATTACTGTGTGCAAACTCAGAGGGGGAAAATTGTATTCATCATCTCTCAGTGGAACATTACAGCTATAATTTTCCTTTTCTTGAATAGTATGGGACACTGAATGTTATTTATATCATTTTTATTACAGGCATTTTTAACTTTATGAAGAACCAAAGAAGATTGCTTAGTGCACTGCCTCTGAACTGTATTTCAGGCCCCATGTAGTTAAAATCCGTCCTTTCTCCAGTATAGTATGGGGAAAAAAGACTGCAGAGCTTTACCACAATGTGGTATAATTGCAAAGAATGGATTGTCAGAGGCTTAGGCATGATGATTTACTGTTCTTGAAGAACCTGGTTTCCGTCATGATATATGATATCTAAACCAGTATGAATAGAAGACTGAACACTGGAATCGTGATGGTCTGGGATTCTCCTTCTTTTTAAATTAAATGGCTTTTGAAAGCATTTATGTTGGAGCTGGTTGTTTTTATTCTCCTGTGGTTTGAAAGCCCTGATCATAGAATCAGAGAATCAGCGAGGTTGGAAAAGACATTTAAGATCATCAAGTCCAACTACTGATGGGACTTGCAACAAAGGCCCATCTTCTTCACTCTGAAAAGATGAGAGATGGAACTAAAGCCCAAATGACTTGCTGCTCATTGATCATACATGTTTTTTCTTGAAAGTTTTCTGTGAAATCTGATAAAGATTTCTTGAATGTGGCCTGGAGGGCAGTATAACATCCCATTCCAGATATGCAAACATGCAAAGCCTGAACTCGAGCCTTTGAAATGTAAAACAGGGTTTATTAAATTGACTCATGAATATGTGTCGTGTCGACATACTTTGTACAAATTCTGTACAGGGGAAAAAAGCAGAAATGCACACTCATGGTGATGGTTATTTAATTTTGGGGGGTTTTAAAATAGAGTGAGACTCAAAAAATAAGGATTGTTTCTGCACATAAATATTCTTGTCCTAAAGAAGCCATGATACCTATTTCAAGACTTGGTGTAAAAATAACAAATATTTCTTGAAAAAGCTGCAAGCCCATTAGAGGCTAAATGCTGTGTCATCTAAAATCCCCAGGCTCTGACATAAGGAAATCTTCTTTGCAATGAAAAAAAAACCCGAACTCCTTATTTTATTTAATTAAAACAAAAACCAAAACAGACAAAATGAAACCAAAAGAGTTCCAAAGGGAAAGCTGTCTTTCCATCTCGCCTAACTGGAGGAAAAAAAAATACTCATGACGCATAGGGAAGGAGTTTTTTCAACTCTCTTGAGGGACTGAGCACATCTAACAGTGGTTTATATCACGGCTTGAGAGAATTAAATGAGGTAAGACAGAGGACAGAAATGCAGAAACCTATTTTCTCTACCCAAATCTAGCTTAATTTACAATAAATTAATTTTCCCCAAGTTGACTCTGTTTTGCCCATGACAGTAACTGGTAAGCAGTCTCCCTTTTCATCCCATTTTCCCCCCTGTACTGTTGAGGGGGAGTAAGAGTGTGTGACTGGGTAGGCATGTGTCAGCCAGCCAAGGCTATGCCACCACCATGCCCATCCCTTAATAAAGGTACAAAACCCACATCCTAACTGCTACAGCCAGTTGTTACAGTCTCCAGCACATTGTGAGCCCAGGAGGTGTTTGGGTGTGCACTTGCATGCCTTGCAACAGCCTTTCACACGCCCTTTGGCCACGTTTGCTTAAAAACATGAATTTTGTAACAGTGGTACCTACAGGAGCAGATTTCATATGTGGAAGCTCAGGCAGTTGGGTCTTGAGTGACATCTGATTCTAGAAATAGGTACGGCAAATGCAAATAGGCATCCCCAACTATTTACGCTTAAACAGCTATTTGCACACTTGATGTTTCTCTCTGTGGATGGAAATGGTGGTTTCTGAATGCATTTTTGTCACTGCTAAAATAAGGAAGGTAACTTTCAAGCCTATAGCAGGCTTTAGCTAATGAGGTGCATGGTGCTATGAGAGCAGAAAGCGGTATCAGGAGACCATGACTGTGACCAGAGCCTGGCAGGCATGTTGGTGCACTTTCTTCACAAGAGTTTATCTAAATCCTGACCAACTGCACATGAATCCACCCTAAGGGTTCCTACACAGATTATGATCTTCCTATGGCACAAGTATCCAGAAAAACCCAGCAGTGAGTACTTTCTCCCTAGCTTGTAATATTGTTTTCACATCTCCAATACTGCTGTTACCAAATACTCAAGGTTGAGGAGAGGATTGTTCATACACATTTCTTTCCCTTTTTTCTTTTAATGACAGTTTTGGAAACAGACAAGATGAATGCAAATGAACTGTCAATTCAAAGCTACTAACCTGTCACGTAAAATATATACAGCTCATATGGGCTTGCCCATAAAGAGAATGTAGCTGTGCATGTGGGAACTTTTAAAAGTAAGGCTTAATCTCTTAGCACCTCTGAGCTTCAATATGGTTTAGCAACGTGGCAATTAAAAGTTTATTATGAAGTCCTTCTAGAAACAATGGCCAAGTATCTTTAAAAGCCATAGATGGTTAGCAGTGTAATGATTTGTGTGCCTGAATTACTGCCAACATATTCAAAATGCATTTGAATAAATCATATAGATGGAGAGTCATTATTTTAGGAAATTAAGCTTGATGAAAATAAATTGTGGAGACCATTTGGAAATTGAAAACTTGCTCCATATATGGGCCTGTGTTTTAAAACAGGGAGTTTCTACAGTTTAACACAAGTTTCTCACTTCAATGCTGTTGTGATGAGAACCATGTGGATGAAGGTCCTGAGCGCTCTGCAGCAGGCCCAGCAGTCTGGGCTGTCCTCACAGAAGCTGTTGCCAGGACAGGCCTTTTAAGCCTTTTACTCAAAATTTGCAAGAGCCCTGAAGAACATACTGCTTCTTGGCATACCTGTCATACAGACCGTGTACGGTTTGAGGCGGAGGCAAGGCTCCTCAGGATCTGAAACTGATCTTGGTGTTGGGCTGCTGGTGCCAGTGCTCAGGTGAGGATACCTCACATGTTAGCAGGAGAGGACTCCATGTAGCATGAGTGACTGGGCAGACCCATGGGTTTTGGGGGTAGTGGTTTAGGGTAACCTTATAGAGGTCAGCTATGGCTTTCAATCAGCAACATGAGTTGATTCAGGTCACAGTTTATTGGTTGGTGGGTGCAGCATTTCAGTCCTCCATGAATGCTGCAGACCACACAGGGAAGATCTCTTAACAGAGGACTCTGGTGGAAGAGGAAATGAAGCGCTTGCTGTGGAGAGCAAAGCACTGAAATGGCCTTGAGATGGGTACGTATGAAATGTCACAGAAGAAAACGCATTTCTCTCTCCCCCACTCCCTGCCTCCCAAGTTAGGTGCTATAAGATAGGCTTGCATTCTGCATATGATTTATTCCTGTTTATATACTTCATGCTATATGCCTTCCATTTCCAGGTAGTATGAAAAGGCAAAAAACCCCAAAGGTGTTTCCAGTGGTTACGTACTTTGAGTCATGTTCCAGTGCAACTAATGAAAGAACACCTGTTGTTACAAATGGGAATATTCACATCCTTAAGAAACCCCCTTGGAATCCATTTGTAGAGAAGAGGTTCTTGAAAAACAGGGTGGTAGGAGGCAGTCTGTTGTGAGTCAGGGAGAGGAGGCAGCGCAGAGCTGCTGAAGGGGAGATGTTCTAGCTCAGGGCAGACGGACGTGGTGGGAATGATTGAAGTGCAGTTGCTGTGTACTTGAGGGAGAAAATAGGTCTAGATGTTTGGGCTCTCTTCAGACTGTCTTTGAGGATAACGTCTGATTGCAGTGGGGTTAAAGGTAATCCCAATTTGCAGTGGGGTTAAAGGTAATCCCAACTTGCAGTGGGGTTAAAGGTAATCCCAATTTGCAGCGGGAGAACTGGTGCCAGTAAGGGAGTTGATGCATGTCTCCTTACCTTTAGCAAAGGTAAGGGTATATGAGGGGAGGGAAAGGCTGTTGGGGCCATCTGAGTTGACTGATAGAAATGTATGGTTCTCTGATATATCTTCATCCATGTGGTACCTTCAGTTCCTGGAGCCTTTCCTCATTTTCCCCATCTGCCCATGACTCAGTCTGACTCAACACACTTGACACCTTGACAGGTTTCCAAGCCCAACACCAGTAGTAGTCAGTTTGCTCCAAAAGCAGACTACAGAAGTGTTTATCTTGGAGATTAAAAAAAAAAGAAGAAGAAGATTAAACCCCCCTCACAACACAAACATATGCCTGGTGGTTTGGTCTGTCTCTCGTGTTTAAGGCTATTTTAATGCAGCCCAACCCACCTGCTCTCTGGTAACACCACGGCCCACACTCCCTGTACGCAGCATAAGGCTGCTCTGGCAGTGCTTCGCTGTAGGAGTTCTTGCTGCTTGCTTGGGGATATGAAATTTCTAAGCTTCTCCTCAAGCTTCGAATTAATTTTGTGCTGTCCCCAGCACAGCCACCAGCGAGGGGGTTACACCTATCGCAGCCCTCACTGTCTTCCTCGGCACAACTCTGCAGTCCCAGCTTCATGCTTACTGGAGCTCTAAGGGTTCCTCACCCTCTGGTTGACCTTCTTCTCTTGGTTCTGACTGTGTCTGGTGGAGCTCCATGGGCAAGGAGAGGTGGAGAGAGCAGAACCCGCACTCTCCACCTCACCCAAAAGCTGCTGTGAGCCTCAGAGAGGCCTGTAGCTTCTGCTAAACTATTTGTCTGCTCCAGCTCAAAGCAGGCAACTGGTGCAGAAACACAATGTTGGGTTTGTGGTTTTGCCAGCATTTTCCTTTGATATAAACGCTAAACACACATCTCTCTTTCTAATGCCTGGGTAACTGGTACCCAGTTTGATACTAAGCTTCTTTTCCGTCTACCATTTCAAACTGGA